TTCCTTAGCCTCCTTCAAGTCCCGCCTCAAGATCCTCCTCTTCGACCATGCCATCAGCCACCCCCCTTTCCCCTTCTCTCCCTTCTCTCCCCCTGACCCCAGCTCGGGTTTGAAATGCTGTACACTGTCCAGCGCCTTGGGACGTCCTCCCGACGTGAAAGGCGCTAAATAAAAGTAATCTTGTTGTCGACCAGTCAGGGGTAGCGGTACATTGTCTAATTATCTTAGGCTAAGACGTCAAACCTTGTCCTATCTGCCTGTTCAGATGCTAGAGATTTCCACTGAATAGAGAATGGAATGTCTCCTGGTCACCTGGCCAACAATCCACTAGATAGACTTGGTCATTGATCAGCAATTTCATGGCTGTTTGCGGGCTGTTGCTATGTGCAATTTGGCTGCTGTGTTCGCTATATTTTACAGAAATTTTGTGAAATGCTTTGAGACATTCTTGATGTTAAAGGCACTATCCTAAGTGCAAAGATGATTATTTCTTTTGCAGATATTCCCTTGACAGCTTTAACCATTCTCATGTTATCTGTACAATTTCTCATCTAGCTAATATGCCACATTCAAAACCCCAAAACATATTGCAGTTCATATACAATATGGTCAGCTTTTATGAGATGATCACTGTAAAATGTGATTTTGGGGCAAAATATCAACCTATTGCAGCTTTTTAAATTCAGTTTCTTAAAAGCAAGTATTCACTCGTGATTAAATGTCTTTTGTGTTCAATGATGCATCCTGATGGTTTTTTTAAAAAAGCACAATACAGTCCAAATGGTTGCGGGACTCTGAACAAAAACTTCCATACAAGCCATCCTTTTTTAACAGAATACACTTGTATTTTTTTCAGTTTTCAAAAGAAAGCCAAGAGTGCCAAAGGAATGTGTCATTTGTGCTACATTAGAGCTATTCTACAGTACAGTGGGGATGATGGCAGGCTTAGCCAGCTAGAGCAGCACTTAAAGGAGAGGAAGTGTAGTACTTTTAATACAATTTACTGTAAATCATGATGTATATGTCATACCTTTACGATTGTTTTTCTGTACTTGACCAGCTCTTATGGCAGGATCACTTGTAAAACCACTACAAAATGGCAATCATCAAATAGGTGTATTATGTATACAGTCACGCATCTTATATGGTTATATTTAAAAGAGAAATCTACAACTGCAAATCAGCCCCTTGTTATCGAGTTTGTTTTGAGTTAATTGTACTCGTGCTCACTTTGCCTCATTAGTAAGCAGCACATTTCCTTTATCCTGAGACCAGACGTGAAAGCCTTACAATTAGTGCTTTTGTCAAACAAGTTTCAATGGGAATAATTTTGTAATTATTGGGCTGAAGCAAAACATCAGCTCAATTCTTTAGAGCATTCGTTGTGCTTGCAACAAAACATGGGCTCATCTACCAAAGGATGTTAGGAAATTTTCATTGCACAGATCATTAGTATTCATCCTGCCATATTTGGGTATACTAATGAACAGAGCCATCATCTACTTTTACTGAAAGTTGTGGAAGAAAACTCAGTCCTCTAGTCTTGCTTAAAGTGTGTTTATTTTGTACCCACATTCTCTACTTGTTTCTAAACAATATATTTTTCATTTTAGAAACCTGGAACACTTCTTTAAATTTTTCTTTTGAGTATTTCTGTTCAACTTGAAACTCTAAGACCTAGAATCATTCCAAGCACTCTTCTCTAAACAATTCACTGACTCAATGTTCTTTTGAAAGTAGGGTGCTCAAAACTGCACACATGGGTGGAGTGGGTGAGAAAAACAGCACACAATACAGTCATTGGTGATTACTAACACGTCAATAAAATGTGCAGTAAAGATGTCAATATGTGCAGCATGACTCAGGTAGTACAACAACAACTTTGATTTATATAGCGCCCTCCACACCGGAAGGCATCTCAGAACGCTTCACAGTAACGAATCCTGGGGCTGAGCCAGGGGCAGGGGGAGGAAGGTGACCAAAGGCGCAGTCAAAAAGGTCTTCAGCCGAGACCTGAAAATAGGAAGCGAGGGGGCGAGGCGAAGGGAGTGAGGAAGGGAGTTCCAGAGCCTCGGGGAATAGTGGCTGAAGGCACGATCACCGATGGTGAAGTGGAGGATTTGGGGGACAAGGAGGAGGCCAGACTCGATGGAGAGAAAGCAACGGACACTCTTGTGAGGAGAGAGGTCAGAGACGTAGGGGGGGTGCAGAGGAGTGGAGGGATATGAAGACAAGATTGAGGATCTTGAAGTCGATCCTCTTACCTGGAGCTGGAAGGTTTTGTGTTCAATGTCCACATTGGAACTTTGGATTCATAGTTTAGGCCGGCACCTTGGTTCCAACCCACAGCTCGGATGCCCAGCCAGCATTGTCAAGCACTTTTGAGACATCCTCCTAACATGAAAGGTGCTACATAAGTGAAGATAATATTGACACTCCAGCGCAGTGCTGGCGGAGTGCTGAAACGTTGGAGGTATCGCCCTTCAGATGAGACGTTAATGAAGGCTCCGCCCACCTGTTCAGATCCCATGCGCGATTCAAAAGGACAGGAGATTCTCCTGGTGTCCTGGGCAACAATCCTCCTGATAAAAACTGATCATTTAATGGCTCTTTGTCAGCAAGATTATCCATCCCGCTGCTTGTTTTAAGATAGCGAGTAGGGTGGTCTTACACGGACAAGCAGCAGGAAAGTTGCATTATGGTATTCGAGACAAGTAAATTTCATTTCTACGTGGCGTATTATATGTGGAAATCTCAGACATGTTTAGATATTCTTAAGTATGTTGATGGGTTGCTACATGTGTCAGATACACGACTGTCCAACACAAATACAGTAGTTGATTGGTAATAATATTGTTATCAGATTCGTCCTTCAAACTATTTAAATTATTACACTTAATCCATTATTTACATACGTCTTTGCACCTGAAGACTTTCCTCTTCGACCATGCCCATGGTCACTTCTCCCTCTCTCTCCCGGACTCAGCGTCAAGATAGGTCGTTGTTCAGTGCTCCGAAAATCTACCTCGTGTGAATAGCATTACATAAATGCAAGATGTTAAAATTCAAAAGTGAATTCACTGCAACATTTTGTATATGTTAGGGGGTGTATAAGAAAGGAAACAAGAGTAATAATCTTGGTACAGGTGGTCAGTCAGTGATACAGTTACATCCTAGGGGCTCAAACACTTCCATGTGTTGTGACATACAAAACTGGCTCAACAATGTGACCTGTATTGTGCATACACATCAAGATTTATCAGTAAATCCAGGGTGTGCTGACCGAACTCACCAGTACCTCTCGGTGCCTGAGTTCACCAGTATCTTAGTAACATTTACGTCTTGTCACTAGTCTAAATTCTTGAGCTTACAGTCAGCTTTGCCAATCCAGAGAGAGATAAAGAAATCTGTATGTAGCAAATAATTTGTACATTTCAACACAAAGTCAAAAATAAAATCAGGGCAAAGGATGAATTTTATTAATTAGCTTTTTTTTTTACTGAAATCATCTTCCCTCCAACACTTTTAATTTGATCATACTTTGCTTACTTCCATTCCTTTCTTCCCCAAATTTAATTTCTATCTCTTAATTTCTATCCCTCTTTTTTCCTCTCTTGGGTTCAACTCTTCCAACCACAAACTGCAGATTATTCAGAACTCTGCAACTTTTGTGCTTTCTGGCACCAAAATCCATAAGCCCATCACCCCAATCCTCGTCTGGCTCCACATGCCCAGAGGAGAGTTCAAGATCCTTGCCTTCCCTTTTACAACTCTCCACTGTCTTGCTCCCCCACCTCTGCGACATTACCAACCTGCCCGTTCCCCCTGCTCATCAAGCACTTTGCTGTCCCATTCTCTGGAACTTTATCAAGGAGTCTTTTTGCCTCGCCCCTTCCCTCACTTCCTTCAAGGTCATCTCAAGATCTTCCTATGTGATTATGCATCGGTCATCTTACCACCCCAACCCCCCAACCCCTTGAATCCAACCCCCATCTTTGGTGGAAACCCCCGACTATCCTGCGCCTTGGAATATCCTCCCAACGTGAAGGGTGCTATACAAATACAATTTGTTGTGCTGGGATAATACAACCACAGGAGCCTGTCAACCTCCGATATGGATTATATATCCGATAATCCTCATCATTGAGGCCCAGGAGAGATCTTGTTCAAGTAAAATAATATCTTTACATTTGGTATAGTTCCTTCCTTATAAGGAGGACATTACAGGTGTGTGGAATAAGGACATTTGCCCAACATTTTGCCCTGAATCAAACCCAGGTCTCTTGCTTGCGAGGTGAATGCTCTAACCACTGAGCAACAGGACTCTATAAATGAGGGGTTAGTTAAGCTAACACCTCATTATTTAATGCAGTAAAAAAATAGAAAATGGGGACAGGAATTTAAGATCAAATGAATAAAGGTGAACGGTTGAGATTTGATTACATTTCATAAAGAACAGTAAATAGGTTGAATGGAATGGGCTATGCAGGGTAGCAGAGTCAGCAAATTCAAGGGGAGCTTAGATATTTGGCGAAGTATTCAACTGAAAGCTTGAGAGTTATAGTATTGGATTTATTTCAAAATGCTTTTTACTTTGGGAATATTCTAATGGGACCACAATGGCCTTGTCCAGTCCTGTAGATTGCCATTTTACCTGAATTTAATATCAAAGAGGCAATTAATTCTGCCTTTAAAATGACTGGATCAATTAAAGCGTTTAGCCTTACACTGCAACTATTGCCAATTTTCTAGAAATCAACTGACATCAAATAAAGAGCACTGTAAAACAAGAGAATAGATATCAAATTGGTTTATAAATATTAATCTCAATCTGACACTTAGAGGGAAACATGAAAATAAAAGATTATCAAGATTAAAATGTCTTTAATAAAAATGCAGTAAAAATACATTTTACAATTATACAGCCTAAATATTTACTCATTGCTATGATATATACAACAGTTTAGAGGAAATATTTCAAAATATGCAGCAAATAAATTATTTATAATTGCATAGCTCACTACTTTTCATCTAATTACAAAGTTTAATTTCTTAAGAACAGAATGTAAACCTAAAGCTTCTTTTTATTTGTTACAAGTTCTGTTCTAACTTTCAAATATATATTCAAGTGTCATGGGCTTTTTGTACATATCCATCTCCAACAATTTATGCTTACAATATAATTCATATTCCATTCTCAATCAGCTACAAAATTCTGGAAAACATCTCCCACCTCCATCCAATTCCTGAAGCACGACAAGCCATGATCACGTATTTGTTTACGGCCTTTGTCGGTGATGACATCCCCATTCTCTTTCACAATCACTAGCTTTGGTAAAGCTGTAATGCTGTATCTATTCTTCAATTCACTGACAAAAGAACAGCTCATATTAGTGAAATAGAAAGAGTACACAATACCCTTTTCAACTTGATTTCTGCTAATTACAACTCTTTCTTGCCCATTTCTGTACGCTGCACACGAATAATGTACATGTCAATATATTCCCTTGCAAATTAATAATTCTACTTTAGAGGTTGTCATGTAAACCTAATACAAAACTGCCTGGCCTTCAGCCAAATACGATTCTTGACCAAAAATGGCAAGAAAAGCAATTCAGTGCAAAGCTGCAAAATTGCTTTAAATAAATTGCCCTTACAGGGAGATGCACTCAGGTGGTACAAAATATGTAAACTTACCCTTCTGATGGTACTCTTTCCTATGGGTCAGAAGGTTATGGATTTATATCCCGCTCAAAAATTTAGCTTAATCCAGATAATGGAATACCTGGGCAAGTGGTGCACTTTTGGAGATGTCATCATTCAGATGAGACATTAAATAAACTCCCATCTACCTTTTGAGAAACTATAACATCTTGATAACAGAAGGGCATTTCTGCCAGTGTCGCAGCCTCCAGATAACTCAAGATAAACCGATCATTTACTTCATAACTGTGTGTGGGACTTTGTTATGCACAAATTGGCTACCAACTTGCCTACCAATACAGTTTGTACTCTTGACAGCAATTCTCTGTGAAGCACTTTTGAGATGCTTCAACATCATTGGCAATATACTAAATATAAGGATTAAAATATCTCAGATAGAATTCAGAGCAAATAACATATGGGGACTTAAAAACAAATGTCAAAAATGATATTAAAAAGCTTCTGCTGTCATTGTATAGCAAATTAAAGATATTGTGCAATCACTCTATAACCTGAAAGCTGAGATCCATGAAATCCCAGCGTAACAATAAGGTGTAAAACCTGATTTCACTGAGCAATGTCAGCGGTGCTGGATGTCGCAAGGCACTGGACAGTTAAAGGTTTGCACCTGAGTTGTGGATTGGAATCAAGAGGGGAGGAGGATAGGGGGCTGGGAAGGTGGCCGAAACACGATTAAAGAGCAAAGTCTTAACACGGCCTTGATGGAGGCAAGGGAGGGAGTTAAGTGGAGTGATAGAGATTCCAGGATGGAGTTCCAGAGGGTGAAGGCAGAAAAGCTGAAGGCCCAACCCTCAATGGTAGAGGGAAGGGCAGGGATCGTGAAGCAAGCCAGTACCTGCCAAGCAGAGAAAGTGGATAGGTTGGTATGATGTTAATACGTCACAGAGATTTTAACTGCTTAAACTCCAGCAGTACCACGAAGCTTGGCTCTTACCTACCTGCACCTAATAATTTCCAGAATTAGCTAAGTAGGGTGCCAAGGAGAAAATATTCATGGAAAATGTCCATGGCTTTGTGGAATTCTGTGTGGTTTGGATACTCCTAAGCATGGTGATAAATTTCCACATGCGTCAGAGACTCCCATCTGACCAACTCAGTTAGTAACATTTGCAGAGACGGAGGTTAATGGTCAACTGATCTCATAGTCCAGAATGATATTCCAACTCAGTACCAAGAGAATGCTGTACAGTCAGAATGAGCCATTAAAGGAAGGTTCTACCTACCTGCTCAGGTGGACATTCAATTAAAAAAAATGGTCATTCACTTCATACATTGCAAAACAAGATTCATTGAGAAGTGAATGTTGTTTTGTGGCTGACAACAACAACTTGCATTTATATAGCGCTCTTCATGCAGGGTAGCGTCCTGGAGCTCTTGACAGTGGTGGAGTATGACCGAGCCAGGGGGAGAGGGAGGGGAGAGGTGACCATAAGCACAATCAAAAAGGAAGGTCTTTAGTCGGGATTTGAATGTGGGGAGGGAGCGGGCAAGCGGAGGGATTGAGTTCCATTGTTTCAGGGTGTAGTAGCTGATGGTGGAGTGAAGGCAATGAGGGACAAACAGAAGGTGAGCCGAGTGGAGGCAGCGGGTGGTGGAGTGGAGGATAAGCAAATCGGATAGGTTGGGAGGTACGAGGGCATGAAGGAAGTTAAAAAATGAGTGAAATGATCTTGAAATCAATTTGTTCGGTAATTGGGAGCCAGTGAAGCCTAGGAAGGACTGGGGTGATGGGGTACGGAGTTTAATGCAGGCCACGGTTGAATTTTTGTATGGTGGAGCTGGGGAGAGCTTTGGAATAATCCAGCCGGGAAGTGACAAAGGCATGGATGAGGGTTTCGGCTGCTTTGGTTGTGAGGTATGCATAGAAACGGACAATGTGACAGAAATGGAAAAAAGCAGTCCTGGCCAGGGAACGAATATGGGAGAGAAAGGAAAGCTGGGGATCTAATCTGACACTTAAGTTGCACACGGGTTCGGTGAGTCTGTGGGAAAGCCTGGGGAGGTTGAGGAGTTCAGACCCACGGGAAAGAAAACGTTGACAGAAGCTAAAGAGTATGGCTTCCATCTTGACGACATTCAGCTGCAGGAGATTTGCTTTCATCCAGGCCTTGATGTCCGTCAAACAAACAAGCTGACAAGACATCAGCGGACTGGGAGTCACAGTTGGAAAAGAAGTAGATTTGGGTGTCATCTGCATACGTGTGGAAGTTGACTCCATGTCTGTGGATGACATCGCCGAGAGGGAGCGTGTAGATAAGGAAAGGAAGGGCGCCAAGGATGGAGCCTTGGGGTACCCCGCAAGCAGGGGCGGGAGGAAAAAACATTTATATTGTTACTGGTTTGTTAAGTAGGACTCAAGCCAAGCGAATGCAGTCCCACTAAGGTGGATGAGGGAGGAGAGGCGGTGGAGGATGGCGTGATCGACTGTCGATTCCAACGGAGAGGTCCAGGGGAACAAGGAGGCAGAGGGAGTCCTGGTCACAGAGAGAGAGGACAACATTTGTTACTTTGAAGAGTGCTATCTCTGTGCTGTGGGCAGATTGAATACCAGAGGAGGGTTTGAATAGGGAATGTAGGGACAGATGTGAGAGAAGTTGATTTGCAATGACACTTTCCAAATCTTTGGCCAGGAAGGGCAGGTTTGAAATGGGTCTGAAATTTATAAGATTGGAGGAATTCAGGATAGGATTTTTAAGAAGAGAAGTGATGACAGCAGTATTGAGGGGTAGTGGGAAAGAACCTGAGGAGAGGGACTAGTTGGTTATGTCAACCAGCAATGGGCAGAGGAAGGGGAGTTGAGTGACCAGAAGCTGGGTGGGTAGGAGGTTGAAGCAGCAGGTGCTGGGCTTCATCTGGGTGATGGTGGTGGGCAAAGGAGTGTGGGGTGGAGGCAGTGGTAGGAAAGGGTGATGAAGGAGGCATGGGGGGGGCATGGTTGTAGGCGATATGGGGGCGTTGGATGAGGAAGCAGCCAGGCGTATGTTATCTATCTTGGAGATAAAGAAGTCTAGGACCTCTTGACACTTGGCATCTGAAGTGATGCCTGTCTCGCTCCCGAAATACAGATATCCACTTTACAGTATATCCCGTGAAGCGCGTTGAGACGTCTCGACGACATGAAAAGGCACTATATCAAATGCAAGGCTTATTATTATTACTACTTACTGTTTGTAGGGGTCCATCCAGGGCAGTGCCAGCCAGTCGCCGTGCATGTTCTGCATGTACTCCAGCATGTCCTCGATGCTCTTGTCGGAAGATATGAAGACAATCTCAAACTGAACAGACGAGCTGTTCTCCACCAGCTCGGTGTAAAACTCGCACAGGATGGGGGTGAAGTCCAGGCAGGGCGGGCACCAGCCGGCCGAGAAGAACAGACCCACGATCTTGTTCCTGAGCACCTCGTCCGTGTCCACCGCCTCGTTCGCCCTGTTGATCAGCATGCGTCCCGAAAACACGTCCATCCTCGCTCTGCGGCAAAGGGTGCCTGGTCGGCTCTCCGCGCGGCTTCTCCCTGATCCTATCTCTGTCAGAGGTTGCTCGGCTATCAGCTGAGCCGGCAGTCAGCAGAGGGTTTCCTGAGCAGCCTCCGGCAGCCGCCTTCGCTCACTTCTGGTGATGTTCAATAACAACAGCAACAAATTGCATTTATAAGGTGCCTTTCACGTGGGGTGGGTGGGGTGGTGGGGGTGGAAGGTCTCTCTCAATTACTCCAATGGTGTTCACTCCAACCAGGGGAGGGCTTGGTTAGGAATTTCAAGACACAGTTTGCAGCCCAAAGTCACAGCCCAAAGACTAAGGCTGATATTTGTGCGTCGGCTCCTGGTGGGTGGGAGCAGAGCCGCAGATTTAGGTCAGGGGTTTTCGAAACTGTTAAGAAAAGGCCTTTGAAGGTAACAGAGAGAGAGAGAGAGAGACACACACGCGCACAAAATACACGGGGTTTTTTTTTTGCAGGGGTTTAAAATGTCAAATAAATAAAAATTAGGCACCGGCCCCAAACAGCACCGACTCCCACCCAAACGCTCGTGGTTTGAAACTTCAGGAAACCGCTTCCCGATCCCATCCGCGAGCAACACAACACAGCGCCTTAACACCAAGTCACCCGCACCTCCCTCCCCCGCCCCTCCCGAGGGGGGTTAATCCCTTTATAAAGGGATTTGACCAGAATCAGCCGCCTCCCGGGCAGCACAGCCCGAGCCCCGGGGGAGAGAGAGAGAGAGGGAGGGTCCCGGCACACCCCGAGCCCCGGGGGAGAGAGGGTCCCGGGCACACCCCGAGCCCCGGGGGAGGGAGGGTCCCGGCACACCCCGAGCCCCGGGGGAGAGAGGGTCCCGGGCACACCCGAGCCCCGGGGAGAGAGGGTCCCGGGCACACCCCGAGCCCCGGGGGGAGAGGGTCCCGGGCACACCCCGAGCCCCGGGGGAGAGAGGGTCCCGGGCACACCCCGAGCCCCGGGGGAGAGAGGGTCCCGGGCACACCCCGAGCCCCGGGGGAGAGAGAGAGGGTCCCGGGCACACCCGAGCCCGGGGGGAGAGAGAGAGGGTCCCGGGCACACCCCGAGCCCCGGGGGAGAGAGGGAGAGAGGGTCCCGGGCACACCCCGAGCCCCGGGGGGGGGAGAGAGGGTCCCGGGCACACCCCGAGCCCCGGCGGAGGGAGGGTCCCGGGCACACCCCGAGCCCCGGGGGGGAGGGTCCCGGGCACACCCCGAGCCCCGGGGGGAGGAGGGTCCCGGGCACACCCCGAGCCCCGGGGGAGAGAGGGTCCCGATGATACCGGGAGGGTCTCGAGCGGAGGTGACGCGACACTGGGGCGCGGGGGATTTTTGAAACGACCTCGCGCCCCCTCCTTTCCAACCGTCACTAGACCCCGCCCCCTCACTGACCCACACTAGGCCCCGCCCCCTCACTGACCCACACTAGACCCCGCCCCCTCACTGACCCACACTAGTCTCCGCCCCCTCACTGACCCACACTAGTCTCCGCCCCCTCACTGACCCACACTAGTCTCCGCCCCCTCACTGACCCACACTAGTCTCACCCCCCTCACTGACCCACACTAGTCTCCGCCCCCTCACTGACCCACACTAGCCCCGCCCCTCACTGACCCACACTAGTCTCCGCCCCCTCACTGACCCACACTAGTCTCCGCCCCCTCACTGACCCACACTAGACCCGCCCCCTCACTGACCCACACTAGCCCCGCCCCCCTCACTGACCCACACTAGGCCCCGCCCCCTCACTGACCCACACTAGTCTCCGCCCCCTCACTGACCGACACTAGTCTCCGCCCCCTCACTGACCCACACTAGTCTCCGCCCCCTCACTGACCCACACTAGTCTCCGCCCCCTCACTGACCCACACTAGTCTCCGCCCCCTCACTGACCCACACTAGACCCCGCCCCCTCACTGACCCACACTAGTCTCCGCCCCCTCACTGACCCACACTAGTCTCCGCCCCCTCACTGACCCACACTAGACCCCGCCCCCTCACTGACCCACACTAGCCCCGCCCCCTCACTGACCCACACTAGACCCCGCCCCCTCACTGACCCACACTAGACCCCGCCCCCTCACTGACCCACACTAGACCCCGCCCTCTCACTGACCCACACTAGTCTCCGCCCCCTCACTGACCCACACTAGTCTCCGCCCCCTCACTGACCCACACTAGACCCCGCCCCTCACTGACCCACACTAGTCTCCGCCCCCTCACTGACCCACACTAGTCTCCGCCCCCTCACTGACCCACACTAGTCCCGCCCCCTCACTGACCCACACTAGTCTCCGCCCCCTCACTGACCCACACTAGACCCCGCCCCCTCACTGACCCACACTAGTCTCCGCCCCCTCACTGACCCACACTAGTCTCCGCCCCCTCACTGACCCACACTAGTCTCCGCCCCCTCACTGACCCACACTAGTCTCCGCCCCCTCACTGACCCACACTAGTCTCCGCCCCCTCACTGACCCACACTAGTCTCCGCCCCCTCACTGACCCACACTAGTCTCCGCCCCCTCACTGACCCACACTAGTCTCCGCCCCCTCACTGACCCACACTAGCCCGCCCCTCACTGACCCACACTAGTCTCCGCCCCCTCACTGACCCACACTAGACCCCGCCCCCTCACTGACCCACACTAGACCCCGCCCCCTCACTGACCCACACTAGTCTCCGCCCCCTCACTGACCCACACTAGACCCCGCCCCCTCACTGACCCACACTAGACCCGCCCCCTCACTGACCCACACTAGACCCCGCCCCCTCACTGACCCACACTAGACCCCGCCCCCTCACTGACCCACACTAGTCTCCGCCCCCTCACTGACCCACACTAGACCCCACTGAACCGGAATATGTTTGATCCTAATATTGTCCCAATAACACCACTGACATCCATAGTGTGTTGAATGCTACACATAAAAACATAGAATTTTTCAGCATATAAGGTTATGTAGCCATTGGGTCTGTGCTTTTCGTACTGTAATTAATACCCTTTATTAATTAATCCCACAATAATAGATAATAAATATCAATAATTGTTGAATAATTGTTAATCCTTCGAATGAGACATTAAACCGAGGTCCCGTCTGCCTGTTCAGATGGATGTCAAAGATCCCATGGCAGTGTCAAAAAGAAAAGGGAGTTTCTTCTGGGGTTCTGACCAACAAACCCCCAAATAAAATTGGTCATTCACTTCACGTGGAACATTGCTTTGCGCAATTTGGCTGCAAGGATTATTTATTATTATTAATTATCATTATACCTCCAACGACTTTTCTTTCAAGTTTTTCTTCAAAACAAAAACTGAGAGCAAGGCAGGTAAACTTGAATGTTGTACCAGTTTTAAACAATTTACTGATAAAGGAGAGAAAAAAAAACTTATTTCCAATTATACACAATAGAATGACAAGGTGACAATTAATATATTAAAAGTTGCAATCAACATCACTGAACATTTCAGGAAATTATGTCTTATCTTAGTTTGGTGTAACACTGCCCCTCCTCCCCTTTCAGAGCCTAAATCCCTTAATTTTGTTAAGGTCATTCATTCTCCATAAAATAAGATCCCATTGTCCTCTTCCAGTTTAAGAATTGATGGGTTCTCTTGTGATATCGGTTATCCAAATGTTCATATTTTTATAGGGTTTGCATCGGCATTGTCATACAATTATAGAGTAAATTATATTGTCATGGAGGAAAACGCACAATTACACAGTGTCTTTCATCTGCATTTTTCCATTCAGCTTCTATCCATTATTCAAGATTATATCACTTTATTTTCCCTATATGAACTTCAAGGAGTTATTTGAGAAGCTAATACCAAAGGTCAAAAGTATGTAGTATGACAGTTAACTGCGTCTCCTTTTGGGGAGTCAAAATAACATTTATAATCTTCCAGCTTCAAATTGCACACATTGTGCTGATCAAAAATTCAATCTTAATAAATTTCTTGAAAAAGAGAAAATTAGCACACCAGTCACAATATTTATTGAAATAAACCACATCAAAACACAAACCTAGTCTGGACATCAATGAGAGGGAGCTGGTCGATTGATCTTTATATTCCTCCCACTTCCATCTCTGCAGTTTGTTCTCTGCAGTGGGAGTAAAATCGTTGGCTTCTGAATACTGATTTAGCCAGAAATGAATCAAAAAGGTTCGTTCTTCAAGCATATAGGATAAATCTCTATTGAAAAAAACACATTTTATCTTATGTATTGCCTGCTAATTTTTATAGCTTTTTATAATTTATAATTATTTCTATAAATAATTTATTAGTAGTCATCAGTATATAATTTATAGAAATTATAACTTTCATATAATTTCATATATTGAAATTTTGACAGTGCTACATTGGTAGAATAGGGAATATGGTTATGGTTAAAACAAATTTTTGGGGCAACAAAGGAAGAATGTATCCTCATACCCGAGAAGCTAACTCATTAATATTAACCCTTGGATTTGATATAGCACATCATCTCATTGGTGAGACATCTCAAAGAGTTTCACAGGATTTTTTTTACTGTGACCATCAGCCATGTTTTAGGCCAAAGGTTGTCCTTTTCTGGAATACTTAAATATTTTATAATGAGCACTACAGCCATCTTATCTACATGTTCATCCTGAGCTGGTAGTTGATAAACATCTATTGGTTGTATTTATCATTTCAAGTCATTGTAAAGGTGAAACTTCAGTAATTAATATCATTCCTTAAAAAGGAATCCCCTTACAGAGACAGCGCTCATGAAAGTCACAAACGATATCCTCTGTATCTGTGACCAGGGCTCCCTCTGCCTCCTCATCCTCCTGGACCTGTCCGCCGCATTCGACACAGTCGATCACGCCATCCTCCTCCACCGCCATTCCTCCATCATCCACCTCAGTGGGGCTGCACTCTCTTGGTTCCGAGTCCTGCCTTGCAAACCGCCAGTACTACATTTCTGCAAATGGCTTTTCTTCTCGCTTCCACCCAGTCACCTGCGGGGTACCCCAAGGATCCATCCTTGGCCCCCTTCTCTTCCTCATCTATATGCTCCCTCTCGGTGATGTCATCCGCAGACACGGGGTTAACTTCCACATGTATGCGGATGACACTCAACTCTACTTTTCCACCTCCAGCTGCGACCCCCAGTCCCCTGATGTTCTGTCAGCTTG